CCCCCCCCCCCCCCCCCCAGCCCGGAGCCAGTGACAGCATGACGTGTGCAGCTCACTGGATTCTGAAAGGAGGCTACCTGGAGCCCAGGCCGGGACTACAGACCTCTCCTCCGCTCTGGCCTCACCGCGAGGAAGAGCCAGAGAGAAACAGGAAGCAGTGTCCTCACCTAAGGAAGGGGCAGCTGTAAACATCTGGGAAGCTTTTCCATCATCTCGTTTCTCTGAGAAGCTGCTGCAGAGTCGCTCCCCAGGAGGGAGACCCCCTCTGCCTCCCCAAACGCTCCTGTGACCCAAGGAACCCGAGGGCCGGGGCTCCTGGCGGATGATCGATCCAAGTGGCAGCACCACCGTCCCCACCAGACGCTCAATCACTTCCAAAGCCTCAACACAACCGCACCGGGTCCAGCAGCGGATGAGGGACCTGCAGTGCGTCGTGGGTCCTCCTCCCCAGGTTGGGGGCAGTTTAAACTTTGCCATTGGCAACGACCAAGGACGTCACGTACGTTCCCGCCCCCCTGCCCCTCGCCCCGGCGCTGACCAGACGCGCATCACTCAGCGGTAACAACACAACCAGGACAAAGAAGTCAACCGTACGGATGATCTCCACGCGCCATAGAGTTGGTTCAACAACGGCACTGGACGACTTCGTGTTCACTTTACCTAGCGGCGCTTGGTGCGGTCGACTTAAAAGTCTTAACGCTTTTTGGGGTGGTTTTTTTTTTTTTTTTTTTGGTGGGGACCAAAGAAAAAACTCTCTTTTGGAAAAAACCTTTTCTGACACAGCATCATTCCCCGGAACGAGCTTGGGTCACTGTTGTATCTTAAAAACAAAAAGCACAGCAAGAACAGAGGTAGGACTTAATATTGCCATCCAAGGGTTTCCCCGCGAGGGCCTGAATGAGCTAGGAACGTGCGCGTGGCGACGGAGCCATCTCGGCTCCTGTTCTTTCGCACGGTGCCAAGGGAGTACTTTCGATGTGTCTGCACATCTGTATATGCTTTTTTAAAACAGGATTCTTCCTGAAACCACAGGACCTGGGGAATCAGGGTTTTGTATCTACTGGCCGACGGCTTCTGGCTCTCCAGGGCCACACAGCTGGCTTCTTCCCCCTTTCTTCTTGGGCTACATTATTTTTTGTCTCTTCCCCTCCTCTCTGTGGCAAGAGGGGGAAAGTCTGAGCGTCCACTGTTTAGGAGAAATCAAGATACAAGGGGCTGACCAAAACCCCCAGTGAAACGCACGGAGGGATCACGTGATGGCATCCGTCCAAATGCAGCAAGAGGCGGGTCAGCTCCTGCTCAGCCACAAGGGGCTTCTCAAGTTTTCTGAAGCGGGTTTCCCTGATGGTGGAGAGGCTGCAGCTGGGTTCCTTGGGTTTGCCCGGGGCTCACAAGGGAAGGAAGACTCGCCCAACTTAGCGTCCCGGGAGTCGGCGAGGGTGGACGCGTCCGCCTCACCGGACAGGTCCTCTGTCGAGAAGTTGAGACTTCCGAGCTTGGCCAGAGAGTGTGAGCGTTTCAGCGGGGAGGAAACGGTGAGGCCCGCCAGCCGGAGACGGGTCTCGATCTCCTGCGTCCGCTGCTTCACGAGCCCGGGCTTGCCTCGGACGCTGTGGATGCTGTCGCTGCTGGAGCTCCGGGTCAGGTTGGAGCTCATGGAGGAGGAGGTGGGGGTGTAGCAGATCGTCTTCAGGAAGTCTTTTGAGAAATGACTGGTGTGATCGAGGCGGCAGAGGAAGGGGGTGGGACTCTTGAGTGGGGCTCCTTCAAGTGGAGCGGGGAGGGCCTCTGACTTCTCGTCACTCCCAGAGAGGCGAGGCAGCGGCAGGGGCCCCGGCAGAGCGGGGTTCTCCTCGGGGATGCTGGCCTCCAGCCTGCTGGTCGTGCCGTCCCTGGAGGGAGAAGCCGGGTCTGCGGGCGTGCCCTTTAACCTCTCCAGTTCTTTGGTGTGCTTCCGGACCAAGCCCGCCTTCTGCAGCTGAATGATGGATTCCTGGTGCTGCATCAAGTAGCTGTTGGTGGTTGGTTTCTCAGCTTCTTTACTGAACAGAAGCCGCAGGTCCTTGGCTGGCTTCGGATCTTTCTTGGGTGGGGATTCATCCTTCGCCACTTCCATGCTTGGAGGGTTCTTATCACAGTGAGAGTTCTTCAAAAGGAGGGACTTTGGCAGGGCTCTTTGGGTTTCTCTGGAAGGTTCCGAAAGGCTAGCCGGTAGCTCTGGGGCAGCTTCAGCCCCAGAGCCACCACCGTCTGACCTCCTCAAGCCTGCTGGTGGTAGGAAAGGGGGACTTTCGCTTGGGCCAGAGGCCAGTCTCTCTAAAGCTCGGGCCCTGCTGGACATGTAGGCCACAGGGGAAGATGTGAGGTGGGGCAGGAAGGTCGGCTGGGTACAGATGGCGGGGGCACCGGGGTTCTCGCCCCGCTCCCTGAAGGCCTCAGGAGCCCCGCTGGCTGTAGGGTACATGCAGTCGGCACAGGATTTGTAGGAAGGCTTCACCTTGTTAAGGATCCCGAATATAGCATCGTGCTGAAAGGAGACGAGAATGCGGTGAGTATACGGTAACGGGCCAGCGGCCACAGAACACGAGGAGGGCGTGGGGTGGGGCTGGGGCAGGCACTGGAGAGGGAGCCCCCGCTTCAGCCAGTGCAGGAACAGAGGCCTCTCAGAACCCCCTGGGCCATGAACAGTGGCGGTTAGGGATGCCGAACCAAACTTTCCAGAAGCTACGTGCCCACAATCCCGGGGAAATCTCCGGCCACACAGCCAGCAGGGCGGTCAGGAGCAAGGCCTGCTCAACCCCACCTCCGCCATCTCACGTGGATGCCTCCCCCGTCCTTTCCCTCTCGGAACAAATCTGTGCTTGGGGAGTATGTGGCCTGCAAACGGGGCTCTGCCCTTCTAGCATGAATACAGCACGGCTCCAAAGAACGACCATGTAGCTGTGGACTCTGGTCTTCACAGTGAGGTGGCAAAGGGCAAAAATGGCTTTGGAAAGACCCTCTTAATCTTACCCACCCAAATACGGGTGCCCATAGTCTCGGATGAGGGAGCCACGCTGAGGTGGTTCTTTTTTTTTTGTTTGTTTATTTATTTGGGGGGAGGGGCAGAGAGCGAGGGAGACAGAGGACCGGAAGCGGGCTCTGCACTGCGAGCACAGAGCCTGACACAGGGCTCAAACTCACGAACCACAAGATCAGGACCTGAGCCGAGGTCAGACGCTTAAGGGACTGAGCCACCCAGGAGCCCCTAAGGTGCGTTTTACGTACCAAGGGAGAACACATTTGCGATGTTTTCTGAGGAAAACCACCCGCCTCTAGGTCAGTGTGACCTGTGCCTCCACACTGTGCCCTTCTGATGGGCGGGGCACCTGCTCACCTCCCTCATGTGCCCATAGGGCTGCTCCTATGGGCGGCGGTGGGGGAGGCCGACCCTCACCCCGACAGTGGTTTAGCTGTGAGATTCCCAAGCTGGTCTGAAACAAAGGCTTTTTGGCGAAGGGCTGATATTGTAGGTTTCTCCCTGTGTCCTGCCACTGGCCCTGACCGTCAAGGATTAATCCCATCCGGTGTCACAGACGTAGGTCCCCCAAGCTAAGAAGTCACGGGGTAGTCCAGTCCTGGAGGAATCCTAAGGAAACCCAGCCATGATTCCTCGAGGCTGCAGGGGAGCATGTGGAGAGCGTGCGGTGGGGGAGGCGTGGGGGCCTGGTCTCCCGCGGAATCCTAGCCTACTCAGGACTCCTGGGGCCGGCTTCCAGGTCAACCAGTGAGACCAGATCACTTCCGACCTACAGCCTGAACTCGCAACCCGGGACTCTGACCAAAGTTTTCTTCTAAAACCTTCAGGACCTAACGTTCTAACACGTGGTGAAATGATCCCATGGTGGGAGATTTAAGACCACCTTTCGGAGCCCGAGGAGCAACAGGCTGGGAGAGAAGTCACTCGTCCAGCTCCTACTTAGGGAGCACCTGTCACACATCATGAGCTGTATCAGGCGCAGGGGCTGCAAACAAGACATGGTCCCCGCCCTCAGAGGGTCTACTGTCTTCTAGTGAAAACGGACCAGGACGCTGAGTGAAGGGATAGTCTTACAGATGAACCCTCACCAACCTGGAGCCATAGCTCACAAACAAGAGTTGTGTGTCTTGGTCCTATTCCCTTGATCACGTCACCCATTCAATCAAATTCTGGCCAGGGAAGGCAGGCTGTGTCCTTCACGTACCTTCTTACCCAAGCTGCTCGTCTCCTCCATTCTGCGACTCACCCCATGCCCTCTGAGACTGATGGAGGCACTACTGTCCTGGGCAGAGGTCTTATGTCCTCTCTCTTTATGGGTATTTGCTCTTTGAGGGAAGGGGGAGTGGCGGGAGAAATTCCTGAGTCAGGAACATGGCGTCTGGAATGTTTTATCGTTTGGAGGTCGGTGGTGGGTCGGCCCCACTTCATTCGTATTAAAAGGTGGCCAAGGCAAACCCTCTGTACGGGGGATGCTGGCACCTGCCGGCTTCCCGAGTGCTCTCGCCGTGGCGAGCCAGCGCAGAGTGAGGGGGGACGCCGAGAGTGGGCGGCACGGGACACCCCCCACCAACCCATCCTCCGCCCCTGGGCCGCTCGGAGGAGGAAAAAGCCTGGTGGAATTAATGATTTTCTGAGCGAGCGCCAGCTTGCCAAGACCTTGCTGCAGAAACCCACCACACAGGAGAGCCACAGGGGACTGCTGGAGTCGAGCATCCGAACAGTAGTCGGAAGACCAGACCCATGATGATATGGAACAATTCCCACCGGTTTCTTAGAGGTGATATTGTGGTCGTGTCTCCACTGAAGTGACACATCTGGGATTTGTTTCAAGACAATTCAGAGTGTGGGGAAGTGAGGGAGGGTATGAAATAAGAATGGTCTTGTGTTGATCAACGTGAAGCTGGGTGCTGAGTCTTGCTTTCCATTTTATGTAAGAAAGAAATCGAGGGGCGTCTGGGTGGCTTAGTCAATTGAGCGTCTGACTTCCTGATCTCAGCTCAGATCATGACCTCACAGTTTGTGAGCTGGAGCCCCGTGCTGGGCCCCACGATGACAGCACAGAGCCTGCTGGAGATTCTCTCTCTACTCTTCCCTGACTTGCTCTCTGTACCTCTCTCAAAATAAATAAAAAAGAAAGGAAAGAAGGAAGTCGAGCTGGAGGCGCAGCCCGAGCCGAGCTGTGACTGAGCGCCCCGCAGACCCCCGACCTGGGCACGCCTGCCCCTCCCCTCCGATGGCACCCGCTGGCAGGGGGGCAGGACGGGCCAGCCCCGCGCCCACCTCGAAGTCCTCCGGACAGCTCCTCTTGCTGTTGTTGTTGTTCAGGTTTTCCCGGTCGAGCAGGCTTTGGTCCAGCTGGGGCGGGGGCCGCCCCCACCGCCCTGCTCCCGGGGCCTCCTCCCCTTCCATCTCCTCCACCTGGGGCGACCAGCCACTCCGGGCCTTGGGGCTCCCGAACTCCAGCTTCTTCTTCACCTCCTTCTCGCAGGGTCCGGAAGCTTCCTGGGGATGTGCGGCCAGCCTGTGTGCCTCAGTCGCCTCGGCTGCTTCCTCCAGGAGGGCGTCCCTCTCCAGGTCCTCCAGGTGGACCACGCTGCGGGTCTCGCCGCTGGGTGGATGCAGGAGGGGGTCTGAGAGTCGCCGGAAGCAGCAGGGGAGGGCGGCTCCTCCTGGGGCCCTGCTGTCTGGGAACCCAGGCTGGGCAGCGTCATCCAGGCAGGGCAGCTGGGCCTCTGGGGTGCCGTCCAGGGTCTCCGGCAAGAAGTCCCCAGACCCTGTGGGGTCCTCCATGGGCGGCTGGAGGCAGGTGTCGCCCTGCTGGCGCCACAGCTTGTTGTGTCGTTGTTTGCTGCGGGGGAGGAAGGGCAGAGGAAAGTCAGAGGGGGCCAGTGCCCGGAGGGTCCCTGGAAGAGGGGTTGCGGGGGGAGCCGGTGAGGGACAGCCCGAGGCCGACAGAGGTATCACTAGGACCCTCGGCCACTGGGGCGCACCTCAGGAGCCTTAATTGGCTTTGTCACATGGGGACTCTGTGGCGGGTAACGTGAAAGCAGTGTAGACCCCAAGGGTCAACACGGTCTTGGGGTCCCGTGTCATTCTGTGAACTTAGCCACTCTACTGCGTGTTTCATCTCCGTCTCGCCATCTGTCAACGAGGATGAGAATCCTCTCCTCCCCACACCGTAGGGAGGCAGTGAGGATGGCAACAGACAGCACATACAGATCTCACGCTGACCTGACTTGTAAACACAGAATGTGCACTAACTTGGGGCCATCTGAAAAAACTGGAAATCTGTATTTAGGTCAGAAAGATTACACGTGGGCCCCTGGGCGGCTCAGTCGGTTAAGCATCTGACTCTTGGTTTCGGCTCAGGTCTCGATCTCGCGGTTTATGAGTTCAAGCCCCGCACTGGGCTCTCGGCTGACAGTGTGGAGCCTGCTTCAGATCCTCTGGACCCCGCCCTCCACCCCTTCCCCACTCGCGTGTGCGCGCTCTCTCTCTCAAAAATAAACAAAACTAGGTCTTATAAAACTGTAGTAGTATTGTTATAACACATTTTTAAAAAATGTTTACTTTGAGAGAGAGAGAATGGGTGAGTGCAGGGGAGGGGCAGAGACAGTGGAGGGAGAGAGAAATCCCGAGCAGAGCCCGACGTGGGACTCGAGCTCACAAACCATGAGATCATGACGTGAGCCGAAATCAAGAGCTGGACACTTAACTGACGGAGCCACCCAGGTGCCCCCGTTATAACACATTTTTAATGTAAGGATGAAAAAAAAAAAAAAGACAAAAGTTTAATGTGAAATAAGGTAAGTCAGTCACCTCCACGCACCTTAGGGCGACAGTAGCCAACAACATGCGGGTATGTGGGTTACAGCGAGAGAAGTAAACATAAGAGGACAGCGTGAACTAAGGCCCTGATGTCCGGCAGTGCACAGGAGCACCACGGCCATTCGTGACGGCTCTGTGTGCGCATTCAGGCAAGGCCGAGAGGGCCCCCAGATGGGTCCCTGCGAGTCACGGTCGGTGCCTTGTGGCTGTGAACTCAGCCTGAAGACCCCTGGTGAGGCTGCAAACTCCTGATGGTGCAGCAAGTGACTGAAGGGCCAAGGGAGAGAGCAGGACCACCCACCTCTTTCCCTCCCTCGCCTCCTCCCCCTCCTCCCCCCAAACCCCTCCTCATCGTCCCTGGGCCCTGCCCGGGATCTGTCCAGCTGCTCCCTGGTTGACAGCAAAGGGACTCCAGAGACGTCTAGGGCTGTCCTCAGACCCCGTTCAACCCTGCCGGAGCACTCCTGCTTTCTCACACGTGGCCAAGAAGCCAGTGGACTCAGCTTGTGGCCTCCTCACAATACCAGTCAGAAATAATCCAGGGAGGCTCCAACCCGCCAGAACAGAAGGGAGTCCCAGAGTCCAGCGGGGATCCGCCTTCATGGGGCCTCCCCACACAGGAGCCTTGGGAGCCCACGGACTTGGGGAGTGCTCCCTCCCCTCTGCCGTGCACCCGCGCGCCTGTGGGACAAGCTAACCTCGCGCACCTGTTCCTCCTCCCTCCCCCCCTCCCCCCCAACATGGGGGATAACCTGTACTCTGCAGACCTTTTCTGGACGGGGGTTAGAGATTTCAAATGTCACCATGGGCCAGCTATGGCAAAGCACCTGCAAGGGCGAACTTGTGCACCGTTCACACAAATCTCAGAACAACCCTATCAGGGAGGCTTTAATCCCAAACTCAGAAGAGGACACCGAGGCTCGAGGCTTGGGGAGATGGGCGAGCTCGCCCTGAGGGGCCCAGCTGGTCAGCACCGGGAGTATCTGCTCTGCAGCCCTGGGAACCGCCCCGTGGCGAAGCCTGGCATGCGGCTCGGCGCGAAGCAGATGCTCAGGAAACGGGGACGTCCACGTGCCTGTGCTGCACATGACGTCATGCCTTGGATTAGAAGCTGTGCACCGTTCCCTCCGGCAGCAAAACAGCTTTCTGTGTGTGCCAACAAAATCAAACAGATCCCTCCTGGAAACCACTAATCAAACCCCAAACAATGGTTGTTTTCTCAGACCGGCACCGCAACCCCCCCCCCCCCCCCCCCCC